GGTTATCTAATCAATCACTAATCAGTTTATCTAATCAGTCACTAATCGGGTTATCTAATCAATCACTAATCAGGACAGAACAAACCACACCATCTTAGCACCAACATAACTGGTTTGTTCCAGTTTGGACTAAGCCGTTCGGTGGAAGAATCAGTTTTGTTGTGTTTCCTTGACTGATGAAGTCTTCTGGATTGAAGGTGAAACGTTTCAGCACAAAAAAAGAAACTGTCCAGATGACCTGACTGAAAAATGTTGGATTGTATACCTGGATTATTGAGCATGGACTTTGTTGGTTTTTTAACTAGAGCCAGAGTTCTGGACCTGAGTCAGAACTAGAGCTCCTCCTGGGGGATCCTGAGCAGTTCCCAGTCCAGCAGGTTTTGGGTCTGGATCTCCTCCCAGTGGGACGAGCCCAGAACTCCTCCAGAGGGAGGAAATGCTCTGAGCTCCTCCTGATGATGATGATGATGAAGCTCCTCATCTTCCTCGTCTCTGAGGCCGGTCTCTCACCGAGCCGGACTAATGAAACCGTTCACGAGGGAGTCCCCAAACGAAGCTGGTGGTTCTGAAGGTCCTCGCCGAGGCTCCGAGGTTTGAGTCTGAAACATTTTCAAACCATCGGCGCAACAACGTTTCTCTGTTCGTCGTGTGGAAGCAGCTGAGCGTTGCTGCAAAAGAGTGTTGCTGCAACAGATTGTTGCTGCAACAGAGTGTTGATGCAACAGAGTGTTGCAGCAACACTGTTGCAGCAACACTCTGTTGCTGCAACAGTGTTGCTGCAACAGAGTGTTGATGCAACAGTGTGTTGATGCAACAGAGTGTTGATGCAACAGTGTGTTGATGCAACAGTGTGTTGCTGCAACAGAGTGTTGATGCAACAGTGTTGCTGCAATAGTGTTGCTGCAGCTAAAGTTACCTTTTACCTTCAGCGCTCTCCTCGGACAAAAACAGAATCTAAAAACAAGAAGACAAGAAGAAACTACAGGCCCAAAAAGCTGGTCTGGACCTGGACTGAAGCGGGTCAGCGTTGGTGGAACCAGGTTAAACAAAGGTTGAATAATGTGCACGACTAAGAACACAGATTTACAAACAACACACTGGGGGACAAAGACCTGCACCATCCCGTTATTTTAGTCAAGATTCCTTATAGGACTCCAGAGCTGCTCCTTATTCTTCGTGACAGACTGGAGCAACATCCTCATTACTGTAGATGAGGTCCCCAGCTCCACTCTATCCTGGTACCACTCAGGAATTTAACTCCCAGTAAACTGAAAGTCCTCTGTTTGAAACTCAGCCCTGACCCAGAGCGAGCGTTCCACCTGTCCCCAGGTGAGAACCTCAGACCTGGAGATCTGGTTTTCATCCTGATCCACCTCAGCTCACACTGAAGGTCACAGCTTAAAGAGCCCAACAGAACCACATCATCTACATAAGATGAGACCTCAAGGTTCCTAACCAGACCCCCTCCTCTCCACAACTGAGATCCAGCCGGTCAATCCAGACCACAAACAGGACCAGAGACGAGGGACAGTCCCGGTGGAGTCCAACCTGGACAGAGCTCAGTTTGGTTCTCCAGGGAGCACGGTCACCTCTGGATCCACAGCCTCCAAGAGAGGAAGATGAAACGAGAGACCTTCATTTATGAGTTCAAATGTTGGTTCTGATGGAGCACGGAGACCGACGTCCGCTGTCCCTCTGCAGAGACTGATGTCAGTTGTCCCTCTGCAGAGACCGATGTCAGTTGTCCCTCTGCAGAGACCGACGTCGGTTGTCCCTCTGCAGAGACTGACGTCGGTTGTCCCTCTGCAGAGACTGACGTCGGTTGTCCCTCTGCAGAGACCGACGTCGGTTGTCCCTCTGCAGAGACTGACGTCGGTTGTCCCTCTGCAGAACGCTCCTGTCGACAGATCCTGGCCTTTGATGGCAGCAGAGCAGAGGAGGCAGCTGCTCGTCTCCACAGACCATGTGTTTGTTTCTGGTAACCAGTGAGAGGATCTGAGAGGACGAGGCTTTAAAAACTGTTCACGTCCTCAAACTTCTGTCCGCCTGCAGGTCTGAGAGCTCCTTTGTCTATTGATCTGATTTCTCATCAAATTTCGTGTTTTACCGTTTGGAGACGGCGTTATTTTTAGACGGAGCCACGCGAGCAGGACCAGAGGAGCCGGCTCAGCAGTAATGTGCACGTCTGCAGGCCGTTCATGGCTAATTAGGTCCATGCAGCGCCACATCCATCAGCTGCCTGCAGGCTGACAAACACTGCCCATCAGCTGTGTGTGTGTGTGTGTGTGTGTGTGTGTGTGTGTGTGTGTGTGTGTGTGTGAGTGTGTGTGTGTGTGTGTGGCTGCACAGTTTCACATTATACCAAACAGTTTGGGATTCAGCTGAACTTTCAAGGCACCCAGCAGATGTTTTGTGAGAGGAGGGAGAAGCTGCTGCTGATTTTATCCTCATGTTTAGAGTTGACCGTGATGCGTTCAGGGTCCCCCTCGTACATTTTACAACTGGAACAGGGATTTGAAATGCACATAAATCCCCTCCTTTCTGGGACAGAGCAGAGCTGAAGAAGCTGATGGAGCATGGCAGCAGCTGCCGTTGGGAGAAACCTCCACCTCCCAAACCCCCCGACCCCCCCCCCCCCCCCCCCAGCATCTGGCTCGTTATCTGACTCCTCCAGCCTCCAGGAGCTGGATGTCAATACTTCATCTTCTGGTGTTTGGACGCCTTCAGCGCCTCTCGGAGCACAAACACAATCCAGCAGAGAAACAAGTTTCAACATTTTAATTTAAATTATGGAACCGAAGCATCAAAGAGCAGGAGATCAATCCGATGAAGTGGAAATAAAACTTTCAGTTCATCTCGGAGGGGTTGAACCAGATGTGAAGCAGTGAAACAAGCATTTTGTCAGAGAATGCACGTCGCCCGCCGCCTTGAAAACTCTCTGTTAAAGAAAAACGAGCAGAAATGAAGCTGCTGCAGACGTCTCATGGAATAAATCAGAGTACAGAAACATATGAGCTGAAACCGAATCCAAAAGCTGCATCGTGCACGTGCGCGTGCATGAATCTGTTATCATACCCGAGGCTGTTGCTGACAGCTTCTCAAACATTTAGTTCCTGCAGACAAGAAAGGTCTGTTTTTTAAAACTTATCACCTGCCGCCACCTTCCTTTCATTTGTCTGGTGTTAGCAAAATATCTTACAATGACTGGGTGGATGTATTCCTGTAACTGATTAACATTTAAACTCAAGTCAAGATGGCTGCCAAAGCCAAAACACAAAAATATCTCTAACTCAGTCAGTTTACGGGTTTTGAGCTAAAACTGGGCGTGGTAGTACCTGAGAGTCGTGCACACAGCGCGCTCCAAGGGCTGTGATGTTTAAAGGTTCAACAAAAGACGATTTCAGTTTAAAACTCGGGCGTGAAAGGCGGCGGGTGACAAGCATCACCACAAGGAACGTTAGGTCTGTAGGTTTAAGAACGGTCAATCCACGTCAAAATCCAAGATGGCCGCCGCCAAAAATAAATACATAACCGACAACTCGGATCATCTGAGAAAACTAGTTTTTATATTTATTCAAAGTTTTGTTCCTCCTTAGGCGGTGCAGAGGTTAGAGAAGGTGGGCCTGTGATCGGAAGTTCAAAAACTGAAACCAGGTGGGAGAGGAAATCAGGATGTAAAGCAGGAAGTAAAGCAGGAAGTAAAGCAGGAAGTAAAGCAGGAAGTAAAGTTGATCCAGATGAAACAGGAAGTCAGGTTCAAATGACAGAAAACAAACTCCGACCGGAGTCAGAAAACTCAAACCAGACAGAAGAACAAAACAAAGAAAATGAGGCGAGAGGATCTTCCCAAAACACAAACAGGAAGCAGAGACGGGAGTAGTTCTCAGGAGAAACCTGATCGTTGTCACCTGCGTCAGAGCGACTCGTTATCTCGCTCATGGGGGGGCGAACAGAAACGTGTCGTTTTCTGCAGAGCTGCCGTCTGTTCGCTCAGCGGCCCGCCATGTTTGACGGAGCTTTAATCTTCCTTCGGCTGAGGGCGAGTTTCCTGTTGGACGTGAACGCTGAGTCAGCGTGCGCGCTTTGGTTTTCATCTAAATTTATCTGCAGACTTTGCACTTTTCCACGTTTTGTATCAAAATGTTCGGCACATCCAAGAAACAAGAGCTGTGACTTTTATCATTTAAAATACTGACGTTCCTTTACAAATATCTTCCCCAAAGAAAGACAATAAAAACATAGTTTTTGTCCTCTTACGCTACTTTAATACTAGCTAGCTGTTTGAAACTTTCAGCTGATATTTTGCGACTTTTAGGTAGCATTTTGCTCCTGTTAGCTTTTAGCTGGTGTTCTTTTTGTTTTACAGGTACAGAGGGTGAGAGGTACAGGAACTCCAGGCAGGAATCTTTAATCTTAAATTCAAACCTTTAAATGGAGTCTTCTTGAAACTCTTTGGTTTCCTCTGAAATCTTTAAAAGTGCTCGACTCTCGCAGCGCCTTCAGGTGTTTAGTTTTTAAGAGTCGAACATCTGGACCCGCCAGCTGTTTGATGCGAGGGGACTACTTTCAGCGGCGTATTAATCTGCAGAGAGGAGTCAACCGGCTTGTTTCTCATGAACCACCAGCGGAGCAGGACATGGTAGGATCGTTTGTTGGTGGATAATTAATATTTGCTGACAAAAAGAAAATATAAAATGTAGATTTTTTATCTTTTAATGTTTTCACATCCAGCAGTTTCATCCTGTAGGAACATCTGGAGCAGGAGCACTCTGCTTCCTCACAGGCATCATCATCATCATTTCCAGCTCCCCCCACCTCCCACAGGTCACCCTGCATTCCCACTGACAGGTGGTGAGTTACAGATTACAGATTACAGATTACAGCAGGTTGCTGTTGGACTTTTTCTGTCAGAGATGAGGCAAATTTGTTGTTTTGTTTCGTATTAAAGAGAATCTGGTTTAAATCTGTTTCTGTTTGAGTCTAAAAGCTTCATTCTCTGCCAAACACTTTCCTTTAATTAATCTGTAATCTGAATACTTCCCCCTTTTCTCCGCTGAGCTAGAAAACAATTAAGAGACCGATTTTATTTGTCAGAAATCTAATAAAATACAAATTAATCACAACTTCCCACCAAATGGAGCAGGATAAACATGAATTATACAGAAAAAGGTGACTGGACCCCTGTGTGTTTCATAACGTATCAGATGGGATTACGGTTGTGTAATCAGATTAAAACGTTGGATAATTGTGACAAACTCTGATCTTCACAAAATGACAGTTCGTAACATTAAAACAATTCAGGAAAATGTCAAAACGTTACAGCTGTAGTTCATAAAGAGGAATTCAGCTTCGTGAGCAACAAAGGCTACATTTCCTATAATGCAACTGGGTGTTTGTCTTTAAAATAAACTAAACAACAAAAACAAAAAACATCATTAAACCTGAAGAGGCTGCAGCTGATGGCTTCACCTGACACATCTGGCAACATCTGTCCATCAGGATGGTTTTAATTTAACAAACCTTCAGACTCCGTGTTCAGATCGGATAACGTTTTTAGACGTGCTTCGTGTTTCACTGGATTTGACTAACAGAGGGTTCTGACACTTTGGGTTCTGTTCGCAGACAGCAGGTCCCATGGTGGTTCTGGTCCTCCTGCAGTTTCCCTCCTGAACTGTAGGGGTCGCTCAGCCTCGACAGATACACAAACATTACTTCAGATTTAGGGCTAATCCCCTATCTGAAGAAAGGTTTTTGAAAAGCCCAGATATGACAGTTAGGCTTTTCTGTGCACAAACACTCACATATCAGAATGTGCACGTGACGCTAAACACACAACCGCAACAAGTACCCCCACCACTGAAAGAAAAGCACCCTGACTTCACACAAATGGTTGATGTGGTCAAAGAACTGTAGTTTTAAAGTGACAGTACGGACATTCTTATCTGGAGTCGCCTCAGAGGAATCCCCCCCCCACACACACACACACACTCGACAGGAAGCTAACCTGAACACAGTTACACTCGACAGGAAGTCACCCTGAACACAGTTGCACTCGACAGGAAGTCACCCTGAACACAGTTACACTTGACAGGAAGTCAACC